ACTGTCGCAAGATCCAAGATCGAGGGGGATGGGAAGAAACCACGAAGGAGGTAAGTACACCAAGCGGACATAAATCAAGTAACACCCCACGCAAAAAGAGAGGCGGTAGGAGCCCCGAAAACAAACTCAAGGAAGGGGTTAGAACATTTTACTCGCTTACTTGCAGCCTCGATTTCGGAAAATAGATTGTGAAGTGAACCTTCCGCCGACGTAAATTAAATGGTGATCTCGGAGGGAAGGAAAAGGGGGCCGTCGAATCCAGAATCAATTGAATCAGCAGTTTCAGAGATTCAGGTAATCTCGTTTAGAACTCATTGCGCAGAATCACAGACCATTCAACCTGGCAACATAGAACCTCAGGGTTTGGTTACCAGGCTACAGACCGGTTACAAACTGTCTTGACTCTCGTATTGGGTGGGAGTGATGACTAATCGAAGCCTGAGTTTTCGACAAGGAGTAGATCGGGCATCCAGCGTCCAATATTGAATTATTCATTTTTAACTCGACCATCCGGTTACAGAGCATTTATTGATGTGGTCATTGAAATCTGACACGATTTGACAGAACTAAATCTGCAAAAATACAGTCGCGTTGGATCAGAAGGACCCGATCCTTCGTCCTGACACAGGATTGCCTGGGTATAAATACAGAGCGAGCAATCTTTGATTCACTCAAGGCTTGAATTGTTTATTGTAGGCTTGAAGTCCAGGACTTGGAGCTGTAAGTACATTCCATTCCTTTCTTTGGTTATACCGAATGCTTACAAGGATATAGATTGCTCCAGGAGAGCTTGTCCGGCAAGAGATGGACCCCAGAACGGAAAACATCCACGAACTGGAAGAAAAGGCGGTTAATTCGTTCGCTGGATTGACTCTCAACAATGATACGGTATGTCTTTCTGCATTTGAACAAGCTCTCGCCTTGACCCCTTGTAGTCCGGAGATGGCGAGCTAGAAATCTCTTCTCGGTTTCCTTTCCCCGGTTCTAGCTCGAGGTCCTCTTCATCGACCACTAACCCTGATTCCGGAGCCCGGCCGAAAGACTCAAGAGCTTCAGACAAAGCTGTATCGAATGACCTTCTGCCCGGGCAATTGGCGGAGGCTCTAGATTCTCTTAGCTTGAATGGAAGGATTCCCCAACGTCCTAAATCCATTGCTGCTCCATAGAACACTCAGAAAAAAGACCAAACCCCAGTATCTTCATCTGCTCATACGTCTTCTGCCGCCGACCCATCTGCGTTTTCTGTGACCCTGCAACCGCCACCTCCAAGTCGACGTTCTCCATCTCCTGCTGCGTCAACAATCTCGATGGGGGCCAACGGAGTCTTGCCCCGACCTCAACCCTCCTCCACTCCCACTCGTCCTATGCCTCCCATGCGCCAATGCAGCGGCTCGACTAAAAAGGGAACACGGTGTCGGCGGACGAGTAGAGGAGTCGCTTCCCCTCCGAATGATAGTATCAGTACAAGCAGTGCCGAAACCGAACCCTGGCAGTGTTATCAGCATGAAGGGCAAGCGGAGATACCGCGTGGGTTCTTTGCGCTGAGGCAGAGTAGGGATGAAGATGGACAAGAACAGCGAGAATCAGAGGAGTGGATTGATTTTGCTGGTAGGCTCCTGATGTTTCTGCCACGGAAAGGAAAAATGTGTTCCTATTCTAATGGTATTCATTTCGTTGCAGATTACATACCACCCTACCTACATCCGGATACTAAGAGAAAACTGCGTGAGGAGATGCAAGAGTTTCGTCCAAATGACAAGAAAGGATCTGTATACCTTCTCAAGATCCAAGGTAGTACCTTAACCATGTCTCTTGCTATTACACTCACCAACGTACGCTACCACCAGATCTCGGAGTCGAAGACTCATCTCCGTCTGATATCTTATTCAAAGTTGGGCGCACCTCTAAGGATATCAACAAGCGAGAAAGATACTGGAACAATGAATGCAAGAATAAAGAATACATACCACTAGGTCACTACCCAGGACGTCTTGACCTTGGCCAAATTAAAGCTGACGTAAGAGGCGTACTGTGTTTCCGTCTGGAAAAATTAATTCACCTTGAACTGGCGGATTTGGCGGTTCTTCGGCCAGATCTTCAGCCCGGGTGGGAGGCGTTTACGAAGGGGAAAGGGAATGGGCAGGCATATGCCGATGCACATCCCGAATATTTTTCTGGTTCTGAGGACAAGAAGGAAGTTGGAAATAACGCCACCGCGTCTGTGTCAGATTCGGTCATACCCGAACCATACGTACATTCCTTGCGTTCGCCGACCTATAGGCCATCTTCCAAGAGTAAAAGTGCAAAACCCAAAACCTTCGTCAACTTCCCTCCCGAGTCACCGTCGCTGCTAGCGAAATCGTCGTCGCTGGCTCAGATCGAAAAGGATTACCTAGCCGCTTACGATTCTGAAGACGAGTCTTATTTTGCTTCGCGGACGTCTAGGGGACCTGTCAAGGCTCTAAATGGTAAATCGCCACTAGCAAAATTGTCGTCTCCGGCTCAAGGCGAACAAGACCTATCCTCGCCGTCGTCCGATTCTGAGTATGAATCTTGCTTGGATTGGCCAACGTCTCCCAAATCGCCTTCGCCGCCGGCAAAGTTGTGGTCACCGGCTCAAAGCAAACAAGGTCCATACCCAGCGTCCGTTTCAGTCATCCGCTCTTCGTCCGATTCTGAGTACGAGTCTTGCTCGGATTGGCCAAGGTTCGAAACACCGATAACTCAAACAGCTGTCAGAATCAAAGATGCTAAATCCCCTCCCAAGTCGCCGTCACCGCCAGTGAAATCGTCGTTACCGGACCCCAGCGAAACAGATCCATTCCTACCGTCAATTTCGATTGGGTCCCGCTCGCATTCGCCGACGTTTGAGGCATCTGTCAAGGCTGCTGGCATTGCGAAATTGCCCGCAAGCTATCAGGGTGTGTTCATAGCCACTGGAATAGGTAATGGAGGAGGATACGGTCTTCCTTGTACTTGTGGAACACGCCATAAGGAGATTTTCAAGTTTTCGAGGGTTCCAAAGGTACCAGAGGGGGCTAAGAGGGGAGAAGACGAGAATGCTCGGAGTAACGTCGATGATTATGAGAAGGACTTCAAGGAGTGGGAGGGAATCGTGAAGAAGATTATTAAGGAGTGGGGAGAGTTTGTTGCAAATTACACTGTGAAGCCAGCCTCAACTGTCAAAGAGTCGACGTGATCGAGGGCTCCTACCAATTCTGCCGATAGCGAAGAGGAAGATGAATGAAACTCGAAAGTGTAAACGATCAAAGGAGACGCTCTAATGCTCCGAGATATCTTCGTATGAGACTTGCGCTTTCGCCATGCTGTTGGACTTGCTGCTGGACTTGCTTTCCTTTTGTTTTCGCCTTTGCTTTCTCCAGTCCTGTTTTGCTTTTTGAGCTGTTTTCCGTCATGCAGTTTTCTCTTCGCTATGAATTATTGAATTAAGTATGTACGTCGTATCTCCCGTAATATTTATTTACCGAGGCAATGCGCTGCCTATTACATGATGGACGCCGGTGGGCGCTTAGCTTACGCATTTCCTTTTGCTGCTTTGCTTCGCGCTGTCGTCGCCCTTTCTCCATCCGCCAATCTTAGATTCTCTTGGCTGTCATCAATACGCCTATACCGTTGCCTTTATTCTCTGTGTTTGTTTTTTTGGAACTCAATTTTGTTTGACGGCATTCGAATCCGTCTCAGTCTTGATACCTTTTCTTTCTCTCGCGCACTTTGCCCACAATACCACTCCCAACTCCCACTTCTCAGCACAGAATGGGCGAAGTTGTAAACGTCATCGTCGCCTTCGCCGTTATTGTCCTAATATTCCGATGGGCTACTTCCAGCAACGGAAATGCGAATGGAAATAATGGAGGCCCGTCGCCTGCGGATACGCTAGGATTCAGGCCGAAGAATGTTACTCAGGATATGGTGGATACGGTAGGGAACATGTTTCCTGACTTACCTAGGTAAGTTTCCGGTTCAGTTTACGTAGCCGCCTGGACTCTAGAAGGCTGATGCATGTGTGTGTTTCGTAGAGACAACATTCGATATGACCTCCTTCGTACGGGTAGCGTTGAGACGACTACGAATAAGATTCTAGAGAGGGGATTCCTCGAAGCTGTGAGCGCGGTGTTTCTTTCGTTTGTTACAGCAATAAATGTTCATTGGTGGTTCTTCTATTCCCTTTACCACCGCCCCCCTCGTGTAGCCTCCGGCATCATACTACACTCTATACCCGCGCACCGTTGGCCCTGCGCACCAAAATCAACCTCATAACGCTGCGGGTTCATCAGGATCATCGTCGTCGGCTGTGAAACCGAAAGACACCCTCATATCGAGATATAACCTGGAGTCCCGTGCGGAGTTGCAGAGTAGTGAAGAAGGGGCTATCACGGAGGAAGAAGTGGGTGGTAAAGCGAAATGGGAAGATACACCGGAGAAGAGAGAGGCTAGTTTGAGGGAGAGAAAGGAGAGGATGATTTTGGCTGCGAGACAGTGAGTTTTATGTCTATTTCGCTACGCCTGCGTTCTCTCTTCTTTTTATTCTTCACGTGAATTCGCGTGTACATTCCGGCTTCATGAAAGGGTTTCGACCTGGCCTTTTATGCTATTTTCTCCATCCTGCGCCTCCTAGGATTTTTCCGATTCCGCCAAGCTCCGTCCCTTTCGCGCCTCTGGGCGAACCTTGTTTGCTCCGTTCTCGTCTTTGTCTTTGACCACTCTTTTTGTGATTGCCTGCATACTGATCAGCTCGAACCTGTGTAGGCGTATGCTCGCCGCTCAAAAAGAGAAGGCCTCGGCGTAGGGGTTTTCCGCACTCCTCTACTTGTCTTGTTCTGCTTCTTATATATGTATTCAATACCACGGAGCGTCAAATGGCAATGTAACGTGTAGCGATGTACACATTAAGGCCTTTTTAGCATATCTCTCTGCTCAATTTATTGTGTATTTTGCTGCAAAACACACTGTTGTATGGGAGTAGAGCCTCACCATATAATTCCAATGTGGTGTAGTGGCTAACATTGCTGTCTTTCATACAGTAAAGCAGAATACATGAATTGCACAGCAGCCCGGGGTTCGATTCCCCGCATTGGAATGTAGATTACGATATGATGATAATCTACTTTTTTACAACTTTGAAGCCCCACGAGGCCTATCTTATGTGTAGATATGAGATGGTGGGTGGGCACATTACAATGCCTCAAATGATGGAAAATTGGAATGGCATGTCAAATATGTCATACATATGCAATTTCTACACATGTTATTACTAGGCAAACATTGTCTCTAGGCACAGAGAGTAGGTAAAAAGGCAATATTTGAAGGTGATTATTAGTGATTAAGGATACAGTGATACTTTAATTAGGCTACAGATTACTAGGTCAGCAAATGTAGGCAGTATCAAGAGAGTGAACTCACTGTTGTTCTTATCTGAATCGACTCCACGTACTTGGCACTGAGGAGTTGACCTGCTCCTTTCTGCGCAGTTGAGAGAGCTGCCAGCTAGTGCAGCTTTCAGGCAAGTACCTTTACAACTTCAAGAACAAACTTCCTACTCACCGAATTGCCTTCTTCTAACGATGTCAATGAGACAACCGACTGATCTCGACGCACGTCGGTGTTTTGTTGGGGACCCATCGTTTCTGAGGCAAACACGATAGTAGAGCGTCTGATTGACCGCGGGGGCATTGCCAGCGTTTCAGCCTGAGAGTCTGTACTCGGAGCACTTCTTTGATTCAGAGTTGCAAGGACAGCGTTGATGTAGACTTGAATCGGAGTGAGGTCAGTACCAAACATATTAAACACTATAGCTGTATCAATACCTTTTGTCACGAGCATGCGGATACCACCATATGCCAGGCTTTTTGAACTTACATACTGTATTTGAGTCACCTCTCCATCAGTCCCTGCTGTCTTCGAATCAGACGGTGACACAAACCGTTATTAGGATCGCAACAGCAATAATACTGAGTCATGACAAGTATGCGATGTCAGCGGGAAAAGGTGAAAAACGGCTCAAGCATTTACCTCGTTAACGCTCCAGTAGAAATCGTGTAGAGAATCAGGTTTCCAAGGATCGAGGCGGTTCTGGAATTTAGTAGAATGCATAACATCTCACGATACGCAGTAGCAGACTCACCTTTGATAGGCAGTGTGTTTGCGATAAATCCATAGGAGGGATACAAGAATACCCGAAATGAGGGTATCGGAGATGACTGATAAAATTACAAATGCATAGGTCAAAGCCTTTAACAACTTTCTCAGTCAGATAGCGATGATGGTATCAGGCTCTCGTACCTGGTACGACTGGATACCCGTTGGCGTCAAGTTTACCCTGCATACATTCAGCGCATCTCCTTCTATAGTAGTCGAAAATGGACTACTTACGCCGTAGCAGGTAGCCCTGATTCCCGAGTGAATGTGTTTTAGTCATTCTTCAATTTGAGTGAAAGCGTCTTTGAACCCACAAATGCTAATCACTGAAGTATCCAGGAAATTAGAAACTAAACCCGCGGAAGTCTTGGAAAGATATGCATACAGGCAGTTCCAAGCGTTAATGTAATCTAGAGAAGAATGTGTTTCAGGCTTATTGATGTATGATATCTGCTGTTCAGAAACAAACCGCGAGCATGGTTAACATCTTGTTGTTCCTGCTTACTGGATAAATCGTTAGATCAGTGCCTTTTCGGGGAAGACTTCACCGTGACGCACAAGTCCAGATCCTTGAGCAATAGAAGCTTTTTTATCGAGTGTTCAGCAGAAGACTCGAAGAAAAATAAAGGATATGAGCATACCCACGGACAATAGTGTCGATGACACCCTGAAAGTAAGATAGTGATTCACATTTGCATCCTGTTTGAACACTATCATGCTTACTTCAATTATAGTCGATGCCTGATTTTGTTTAGTAGCATTATGGCTGAATCCGTAAAAATCGGAAAAAAAAGTTTCTCACCAAAAAAGGCCTTTCAACGCAAAGAAATGATCAGTTATTTGGTATCACTAACAGAAGTGGGCAAAACTCACCAATAGATGGTAGCCGTGGAGAGAATATCCTCGAAATGTAGGAAATCGATGTAGTACAAACCCATTGCAGAGAAAATACTCTCGATAGTATCAAGTACCCTGCAGATAATACTGATGTCAATATAATATCGTTCCACCAACGCCACAGTATGAATGATTACCACAAAATAGAAACCTTATGCATTCAACATGAAAAAACGACGATATCAAGATGATGATAAAAAAAGGCGTACCATAGCTTTGAGCAATAACGAGTCTCTACGAGCCCGTTCCGACCTAAAGTATGACACCGTTTGTAGCGAAGTCACACCATAGAAACTGGGATAACTTCGGTATTAGGAAGATTATTACGATATTGAAACCTTAGATATGCACTGACATCGCAGAGATATAAACACCGACGAACAAAGCGATAGACGTCGTTTCTGCTAAAGATGGCATTCTGTTTGACAACTTTCAAGCTCACTAGCGAAATTCTGGGGGAAACTGGGGGAAATAGGAGGCGTATACGGTCGTGAGGGGTTTGGATGCTTGAAATATCCTCAAGCTCATCAACATCAATCACTCCTGTCGCTATTCGAGGCGCAGTATCTGATGCCAAACTATAATGGAATACCTCCCAAGCCAAAGCATCTCAATACACTAAGGATTGATTCCCGACGTTGTACTAGCTGGTATTAGACAGCCCCCCATTCGGTGAATTGCGTACCGACTACGTTCAGGCAGTGTGCATAGTAATAACTTGAGTAGATAAGGGACCGCGCCCAGTAATACCCCACCCTTCCTTTTAATTCGGAGGCGAGCAGGATCGGAGAGCGTCAGAACGAGTTAGTCCTGCGATTCAAGTAGCGGATCTTGTAAGGACGAGAAGAGAGGAGCGGGAGAAGGCCAAGTAGAATATAACTAGTTCAAAATTTCATATCAACGAACCCTTATAAGCTATGTCTAGTTGACATTCCATAATGTTTTATGCAGCGGCGAAGCAGAATTCGGAGGCACTGACCAGTATGAAGTCAATGACAGTTGGCCTTAGCTGGCCGACTTAACGGCGAAGGCGGACAAGAGAGCCCGCACAAACTTTACGTATTCCATAATGATAACGATAAACGCTTGTTAAGTGAAGTTTGTCATCGAGCGCCTAACCAACCCCCGGAGATAAGCGCGTTCACATAGCTCATCGCGTGACGCGTCTTGGACGCGTCTGGTTATCGTTTCCTCGAGCTCTATTTTGAATGGCCATTAGATGCAAATATTCTCTTCGCACTATGCCAAGCATGTGCACCAGAGCTCTGTGCACATGCAGAGGAACAAGAATTGTCTATTTCTGCTACAAATTCTCATGGCGCAATATCGAAGAAGATGAACGATCAACACGCCCCATACTTAATCCTACAAGGGAGGAAAATACTACCCGACTAGTAGCTTGTCCAGCATGCACTTCCTTCCGGCCTTTCTCGCCCTGGGACTTGGAGCGTTCAAGCATTGTGTCGCCGCCCCCTCATCCACTATCCACTCTAACCATGTAGTCCATGAAACACGTTCCGTGGAACCTCTCGACTGGTTTATCTCTCACCATCCTGAAGCACACAAACGGCTTCCCTTGCGCATCGGCTTGGCCCAACAGAACATTGAAAATCTAGAGTCCATGCTCATGGCCGTTTCGCATCCAGATTCGCCGGAGTATGGGAAGCATTGGACCCCACAGCAAGTCGTGGACACGTTTGCGCCTTCGGAGGAGAGTGTTCGCAAGGTCTTTGGATGGCTCAAGGATTCGGGTTTCTCTAAAGAGAAAATCAAGATGTCTGCGAACAAGGGATGGATTCAAGTCGATGCAACGATTGCAGAAGTGGAGGACCTTTTGAAAACAGAGTATCAGGTTTACAGGCATAATGAATCTGGAGAAGAGCAAATCGGTAGGTTTATCTCAGTAGCAAATACGCACGCGTAGATTTACACCAGCCTGTTATAGGCTGTCATGAATACTCTGTACCTGCTGCGATCAGGGAGCATATCGACCTAATCAGGCCTACCGTCCATTTTGATCATCGGCCTTCACCAAAGTCTGAGACCAAATTCAAGAGAGCAGGTGACGTTGGAAAGTCTCCTGGTACTGGGCCCAAAACGAGCCCCACCCCCATCCACACCCTACCCGTTTCTCCTGGTCTTGCTGATTGCGATCAGATGATCACATTAGGTTGCTTGCGAGCTTTGTACAATGTACCAGAGTTCAAACCAAGATCCCTGGACAAGAATTCATATGGTATAGGTAAGAATAGTTTTTTGAGTTTAAGTTCATCTGCCGACATTGTTTCACCCCTATGCAGTTGAATTTACTCCCCAAGCGTTTCTTGCTGGTGATTTGGATTTGTTCTTCTCGTACGTACCACTTTGCCGGCCTGGAAACGCTCCTTGCTCAACTTTTTGTTTTTCAGGAACTTCTCTCCAAATCTCGTTGGTGTCCGACCGAAGACCGTTTTGATTGACGGAGGTTAGTAGCTACCTGTACAATCAAGTGCCATAGTGCTGAACGAACCGAAATAGCTGTCGTTCAAACTACGAACCAAAGTTCTAACCTCAATGGCGAAAGTGACCTCGATTTGGAGTACTCGATGGGTCTGACGAATCCTCAAACAATTACTTTACTGCAGACGGGAGATCTAGTGGAAGGTATAAGATGTGGTTACGTTCCGGGTCATGTATTCATCCGATACGTTTCAGGCGCTGGATTTGATAACTGGTTGGACGCTGTGGATGGATCATTCTGCACCTTTGAAGGAGGCGACGATCCTACACAGGTCTGATTATGATATCCTTCTCATCTTTTTCAAGTTCTTACATAGTGTAGGATGGAATCTACCCCGACCCTCTACCCGGAGGTTTCAAAGGCAAGCCTTGAGGCTTTATTCTTACATTTCTAGCCTGACTAACATCGCATACAGGACCAGAATCCTGTGGTATCATTGCCCCGCCATTTGTAGTCTCAACTTCGTATGGTGAGGAAGAAGTCACTATATCAGCCTTTTCAGCCACGCGTCAGTGTACCGAGTACGGTAAGCTGGGGTTGATGGG